TCCAGTGTGGCTCCGACGGTGCACCGTCAAATTGCTGCAGTTCTTAAAGACCTTGCCACAGTACTCACATGTATCGCTCCTGCGCCCTTCCTTCGAACTGGGTCGCCCGGGGCCGGGACCGCTGATGTGGGGGGTGCTGCCTCCGCTCGCCGTGCCGCTGCGCCCTGAGAGTCCCCCGTCCAGCATGTCCCCCGGCGGGGTGGAGAAACGCAGGCTCCCGTTCTCCGACGAGTGCTCGGAAGAGGTCGCAAAGGGGGATTGTCGGGAGTCTGTGAATCCAAGGAACGGATCCTTCATGAAGTGCCGCGATGCTGCGTACCCTACCAGCCACTGGGAGTAAACGTTTTCAGAAGGTATTATCGTTGCTGGTGGCAAGTCCAAATCTTTCTCTACCTTTATTCTTTTAGAGGAATTGTTTAAACTGGGGCTCGTGATAGGTGTCGGCTTGCGGGGGAACAAGTTTGGGAAAGGTTCACCTGGGCCAAAGTTTCTTCCGTTGACCGTCCCTTCCTCAGTGCGGTCCAGCTCTCCTACCACAGAGTCTTCGTCGCCTGGATCTCTCTGACAGAGGTCTCGAGGACACAAGTCTCGCTGGTCAGAAGACCTTTTCATGAAGCTACTCCTCTTCTGTTTTTCAGCTAGCATGTCGTTATATTGCTGGATGGCACCTAGACTGACATTCTCGATGACTTTTCCCAGGACAAGGGATTTCTCGTCCGGCAGCGACTTGGAGCCATTTTCTCGGTTACGACTCAGCTCTGAGTCCATACTGAAGCTCGACTCTGGCCGGCTCTCGTTTTCGAGCTCCTCTTCCTCCTCCTCCTCCTCTTCCTCTTCTTCATTGTCATGGCCCAGGGAAGGATCGCTCTCGTTCCTGAAATCTGCCTCACTGGATTTCAGTCCCTCTCCAGTGAGCTCACTCGTGCCTGGCTCGGGGGAACTAGTGGTGGACAGTCCGTCGTCTGACCTGCCTGTCATGGAGCCAGCTTTATGCATATGCGTTTTCATGTGGCGTTTTAGCTTGCTGGCCTGGGAGCAAGCATGGTCACAGAGCTGACACTTGTAGGGCTTTTCTCCGGTGTGACTGCGCCGGTGCACGATAAGGTTACTCTGGAACTTGAATGTTTTCCCACAGAATTCACAGGACTTGCTCTTGGCCTGAGGCTGGGGAGGCGTAGTGCTGCTGGGGGGCATGGGGGGCAGTGGTGGGGTGCTCAAAAAAGGTGATTTAGGACTTGGCTGGAAAGGATTCAACAGGCGATGCATAGGGTTGGTGCGACTGGGCGAGACTGGCGGAGGGGTGGAACTATTTCCTGCCAGCTCTCGAAGTCTTCTGGAGAAATCCATCGCTGGGGACTCAATTGCCATGGGGTTTAAACGCATAACTCTGTCAAAGGCACTGGGATGCTGGGCAACTAACCCCATTTCTTCGGCACTAAGGCGATGTGGATCCAGATGATGACGAGGCGGTGGGCTGAACAGCGGAGGCGTGTTTGGGAGCCGACCCTCACCAAAGCCAGGGTGTTCACGCAAGATGGGTCCTGTCATCCGCAGAAGATTGAAAGGGTTGTTGTCTCCAAGGAAATTCATCAGCGGGGACTGTGCAACAGTCTCTGGTCCCAGAGGAGGAGGGATGGTGATGCGTGGAGTAAGGGAACTGTTTGAAGGGCTTGTTTCCAGGTAGATGCGGAATCCATGTGTGTTCTGGGCATGCTGAAGCAAGAACCAAGCGCTATTAAAAGGCTGCTTGCATGTTGTGCAAATATAGCTTGAAGGCTCATCTTTACCTATAAAAGAAAAACAGAAAGAACACTCAAAAAATAATACAGCGGAAAACATTTAAATACAGTTGGCATGCACTTTATTTTGCTAACACATTTCCTCCTTGGCATTTCTGAAAAAAGGACTTAATTGGAATGTATTGACTGATATAAATTGTTGAACAGCACATTTACTCACCACACTTATTCACTTAACATGTATGACAAGTATCACACATACGCATTGGTGCTGCATGCGTTTCTATCCTCTACCTTGCAAATAAAACCTTCCTTTATGGCACATAAGGATCCAGATCCTTTCACGTGTTTATTCCACAAAAAAGGAATTTGTTTCAAGGGATTTATGACTACAGACAAAACCCAAAGATAATGCAGTGTGGTAGGTTTTACAAGGCACCTGCAAGGAGCTTCAGTGTCATTTTCCCTCCTTCAGTTTATATTTTTATACACTTCATGCAGCAGTCCCTTGAGTTTTTATCTAATTTATACATGCTTCAGTCATGCCAGCACTTCCATTTTTAAAATACTACGTAGGTATTTAGCTGCACAAGTCCTATTCAAGTCAACAGGAGCTTGGAAAACGTACCCTTGCATAAACCGCTCTGACATCCTTTTTGCCAAAACACCAAGAAGCCACTCAAATGAAACATCCGGTAATCAAAGCCGACAGCACAGTTGCAATTAACAGTAACAAATGTCGGGCCATGCTTGAACTGGGTCCCAAGAATTTCTGAGCCTGAGCCTGCCCTCCAACGCAGAAACTCTCACTGGAGCCAAAAACATTGTTCTGTTTGCCTTTCTAGCCTCTTTGAACGACTGCATAAAGGTGGAAAGCATTCCTTTAACCTTGATTCAGCTTTACATAAAGGACAGGTGTGGACAAGTCTGCACTACAGTCATAATTTTGCTAGCTAGAAAATTCCGGTCCTGGGCACAATATAAACTATGTGCTATCTTCAAAAAGCACTTTCTCCGACCCCTCCCCCTGGCTCCTTTTTTCGATGCCTCTGCAGGACTCTGATAAATTCATAAATACGGGTCAACTTGAAAATCATGACCCAGGATTTGTTTTGTTGTTGTGGTTTGGTTTTTTGGTTTTTTTTTTTTTTTTTAAATGAGGGAGAGGTTTCCTGAAAAAACAGCTACTCATTTGAAAATTCGAAAATTAATTTCTTGCTTGTCTGTTTGTTTATGAAAGCACGTATTTTGGCCAGTGATGGCCCCGCTGCACCTGAAGACACTAAACTTCCTGAAAATTCAAAGCCTGAACCAAGCTTCCCGCCTGAGCCGTGTCTGCGTAACGACCCGAACGAAGCCCGATCCCAGCCCCTCCGCAGGAGCTCAGATCTGAAGCTGAACTACCCAACCCCTTTCTAGATGGGGGGAATGCATTTCACAAAAGCCTATTACTTAAGCTTCAAAATGAAGGAGTTTATAAGGTGAACATAACCGCATTATTGAAACTACTTTGGTAAAGAGGATTGACTCATAGCAGCAAAAAAAAAAAAAATTAGGCTCAGGCACACACCCTGCGAAGCAGGAGTGCTGCTGACTGAATTCCCCTCTTCTGCCTGTTGCAGGAATGTCAGCTGCTAACAAAACCCTACAAAACCTCAGACAAGGAGTCTAGAAGATTATCTGCCAACCTATCAGCCTGCCAGTCTATCTAATCTTATCACCCAATGAACATCCATAAAAGCGTAAAGGAAAAAACATCTATCAGACTGAGACTTATTTACAAAGGTAGGTGATAAATGTGGTGCAACTCCTCACGCTCCTATTGATTTAGTAGGTCTATTGCTGTGAACAGTGGCTTCAGACCCCAATTTTGGCGAAGCCGGCTCTCCAGAGCCAAGAAAAAGCGTGCACTGCAAGGCAGGCGTTTCTGCCTGGCTGACACAGCCCCGGTGCCCTGGCCCCGCACGCTGCCTCGTACGGGACAGCCTCAGTTGCTTTGATTCACCTCCAACAAATGCTATTGGAAAAGCACACAAATTTGGGAACTGTACTGGGCTTGGACAAAGTGCCCATAACTGCTATTGACATTAATGAAAGCCACATACAAACACAGAAAGGAACTGATACATTATCCCTTAAAAATCTCCTCTGCGCTGAGGCAGTTAGGGAGTTTTATGTCAGCTCTGCAGCCAAAGCAACAGTAAATGCTCCCATTATTACTTCAAATATTTAAATTTCTGTTTCTTACAGAAGTATGATGAAAATGTCTAGACCTTTAACTTTTCTTGCACGGCAACATGTGTAGTATAAAAAGCGACAGAAATCACTGAAGCAGACTAAAGTATATAACATACTCTGTCAAAAGCTTTTTTTAACAATATGTTTTACCTCAGCTCACCCTAGAATAGATTTTAATAAAGCCCCTTCTGAAGTGTGATCTAATAGCAAATGAAGTGCAGCATCTTACAAGGTCATATATCTTCAAATTAAAGAGTGCTCTGCACCCTTCACCTTCATTTTATCCACTCTAATTAATCGATTTATTACCCACAGCTGTTCGATTCTTTCCTTTTTAAAGTCACAGCGTGCATTCTTTTTTGTTGTGGGGTTTTTTTCTTTAAAAAAAATAAAGTGTGCGAGTATTTGTGTGTGCATGCCTTCTCCTTGCTCAGCTCAAGAGCTGACAGGAGGAAGAAAGCAGCTGTGTATTAGACGACGACAACGACAACAGCAACACGTTTACTTCAGCAAGGCACATACTTAAGGAGAAAAATTCCTGAGCGGGCTGAGGATCAAGGCCAATCTAAAACTGAAATGGCTGATTAAAAAAATTACCCTCAAAATGGCAGCTGGCTGGATGCTTGCTACTACATGTTACATGGAACTGAGATGTTTTGTTTTGTTCTCTAAAACTTCACCTCCATGAAAATTCAAGTGAGGAAAGTAAACCCCCCTCCTTTTCCGTTTTCTTTCAAACAGAGCAAATTAGTGCTATTAGTGATCTCAGATTTACAATCTAGCAGTCATAAAACAGTCTTCTCTTCCTTTTTCATTTTGTTTAGCTTTTATGCTCTTTAACACTCTTCCTCAGGATACCCCGACACGATGGCAAAATTGACTGCAGGCTACCTGGCTACCAATCCCTGACTGCTTCACAAGCGTCCATGTGTGTCTGCCTGTGTATATATATTTTAACTTTCACAACCCTCAAAGATTCTCCCCAGACTCCCCGTTTAAAAAGAAAAATAAAATTAAAAAAAATAAAATAAAATGTTCATTTCCATATTATCACTTCATGGTTATCTTGCCTAGAAGTTGCCCTGAGCAGTGTAGATGCTCACTTTTAAGAACAGAACAATGTCAGAAAGTCTTTGAAGATCCACTCTGAACACTTTTATATTCAAAAACTTGCTAAATATTTTAAACATGCCCAGAAACAGCCGCGTATTGCTCAAGAATGATCCTTATATTTAATAATGCAGTGCACCTACACTATAAAACTCTTTGTTATAAGGCTACTTTTGATATATGGCTATCTTAATCCCTTGCCACCTGCACTCAAGTCTGTCTAAATACCCACTTTATGACAACTAGCTATATAGGCTGTGCCATATGCAGTCTTTATCACTTTAGCATGTGCTTGACTTTGAGCATGTGAGTAATCAGCATCAGTGAAACTTAAGCCTAGGCTGAAGTGTTCTGTTGGGTAGTGATGAAATTATTCATTGCTTAGAGTTAAGCACAAGCCAAGACTTCATTAATACTGTTCAATGAATTGCACATGGATTCATCTGTACAGTCTGTAACTTGGCAGGATTTTCAGGGCTGATGGGTCAAGTATAATTTTTTATCTTTACATTATATGTCACATATGGTGTACGTACTGAGATGAGTCATCCAGGCCACAAACCCTGAGAAGTCAATAGTGGCTTCAAGTTTGCACTAAAGCCAAACAAATACTGCCACTGGAGTTCAGACACGACAGGTTTGTAGGGCTGGATCCTACTGAGACACAAGTGGGTAGGTTCAGAAATATTGATTCGAAGGGTAGGACGGACCGTGAAATTAAAGAATGAGAGGACTGGGATAAACCTTAAGGGTTGCCCTTGTCCAATTCCTGACCCAAGGGATGTACGTATCTATGCATCTACTGATATCTATGGCAGATGCTCCTTTATCCCACTTCAAAGGCCACTCGGAGGGAAAGACTACAACCTTCCCAAGTCTACCTCACTCCAGCCTTCCTTTACCATCATGAAGGTTCCCCAAATACCTGATCCAAGTCTTTCTTCCTGCAATTTAAGATCATAACATTTTGTCCTACCTGCATGTACATGAAAAATATAGGAAACGATTTAGTCGGCATCTCACATGCAGATATCATCCAGCCCAGTGACTTGCAGTTGAACCACTCGTGTCTTTTAGCACCCCCTTCTCCCAGCTTCGTTTGGAAATGCCAAGTGAGAGAGAATTCACTATGTATCGGAGTAGTCTGTGGCAATGGTTGACTTTCTTCAGTATTTAAAAAAACCTCTTATTTCCAATTCAAAATGCTGAGTTCAGCTGCCAACCATTAGATCTTGTTACGTTTTTATCTGGTAGATTAAGAATCTCTCTGGTATCTTCTCCGTAAGCAGGTAATTATAAACTATGAACTTACTGAACACTCTTGCCTTTTCTGCGCATTATGACAAAAGATGGTCTTTTCCAGAAATATTAAAATGTGTTCCCTCCATTACTGCATGACAGATTATGTTCCGTTCAAAATGTCAAGGCCATAATGAGCTTTTTTCTCATTCATGAACAGCACAAAACAAAGCTAAATTCAGATCCTGAGTCCCAAATTCTGCCCTTACAGGGGCAGTGAGAAAAGACAGGTCAGTTTGCCCAGCTCAGAGCAAGAGTAGCCTGGGTCTGTGAACATTCATCCCCCTGCACCAGGCAGTCCAAATCCCCTGACTTATCTGTCCTCTGCAGTCTGACTGGGATCATTTAGTGATACGCAGATCTTCCTTGCCCAGTTGGCACATGACTTTCTATACACCCTGAATACTGAGTGCCTTTGCCCTGGAGATAAATTTCCCCGAAAATATCCTCCGTTA